TATCAATTGACATTTAAAAACTGTAGGCACTCTAAAAGGACGCACTTTAACTGTGACAGTGGATGTGTCTAAATAACGGGAGTCAGCAAGTCCCTCCTCAGCCCGTGGTCAGTTTGCTGCTGCTACCACGAAGACAGAATAGAGAATGAAGCAACAGGTTTAGAACTCTGGCTTTCTGCTCCTAAAGCCAAGGTGAAAGCATTGTCATATTCTCTCTCTTTCTCTCTTTTCTTTCATTCTTTCTTTTTTGTCATATTGCAGATGAAAGCCAGGGCCTCCTGCATGCTAGGCAAAGGCTCTACCACTGAATTATATTATCAACCCCTTTTATTTTGAGACAAAATCTTCTTAAACTTATATATGCAAATACTATACCACAAGGGACTGGAGCATTGGTACATTCTGGTATGCCCAGGGGTCTTGGAAGCAACCCACTGTAGATTCTGAAGGACAACTATACTCAGAAAATGCTTTCAAGATCGTAATTGATGAGGACCTTTCTAAAGCAGTTCTGGAAATCCTTCTTTATGAGCATCTTAGTCGCACTATTCTGGCTCTCTCCATGTCCTGAACTGATTCAGAGAGATACCTTTCATGGCCATTTTGACTTTGGAGAAGAGGCAGGAGTTACACGGTGCCAGATCTAGTAGGATGGATGAGGACACACTGGACACACTATAATACCTTCACTTTTATTTTGCAATCAATTTTATTTGAAAAATCCCATCATTTATGGCAACATTTCCCATTTAATTATAATTGCTTTTTTCTCTTCTATACTAATTGGTAATGATTTTTAAAATTTTTGAGGAAGAAGGGAAACTCATTATTTGCTGATGATATGATACTCTACGTAGAAGACCCACAAAACTACCAAAGACTTCTAGACTTAATTGACGGATTCAGCAAAGTAGGTGGATACAAGGTAAACACTCAAAAAATCAGTAGCCTTCTTATACACAAATAACAGACTCATTGAGAGTGAAATTAGGGAAACAATCCCTTTCATAATAGCATCCAAAAAAATACATCTAGGAATCAATCTAACGGAGGAAACAAAAGACCTCTACATTAAGAAATACAACACCCTGAAAAAAGAAACTGAAGAGGATATAAGAAAATGGAAAGACATCCCTTGTTCCTTGGTAGGAAGAATCAATAGAGTGAAAATGGCCATACTTTCAAAACTGCTACACAGATTCAATGCAATCCCTATTGAAATCCCAATAACATATTTCATAGAACTAGAAAAAAACAATCCAAAAATTTATTTGGAATTGAAAGAGACCTAGAATAGCAAAAGCCATTCTAGGCAACAGAGACGTGGCAGGGGTATCACAATTCCCAACTTGAAACTATACTACAAAGCCACTGTGATAAAACAGCATGCTGCTGGCAAGGAAACAGACCCAAGGATCAGGGGAACAGATTAGAAGATGCAGAAACAACTCCTGACATACCCAGCTACCTCATCTTTGACAAGGGAGCCAACCATCCTCAGTGGAGGAAAGATAGTCTCTTTTATGAATGGTGTTGGAAAAACTGGATTTCACCTTGTCAAAGATTAAAACTAGACCCCTGTCTTTCACCATGCATTAAACTAAAATCCAAGTGGATTAAAGATCTAAATATTAAAAAAGAAACACTAAACTTGCTGGAAGATAAGTTAGGCAGAACTCTGGAAGACAATGGCATAGGAAAAGACTTTACGAATAAATCCTCAGTAGCACGGGAACTAGCAGAAAGAATCAACAACTAGGATCTCATCTTATTAAAAAGCTTCTGCACTGCAAAAGAGACCATCAACAGAACTAAAAGACAACCTACAATGTGGGAAAAACTTTTTACCAGCTGCTCCTCAGACAAAGGGCTATTATCTAGAAATATATATAAAGAACTCAAAACCATCAGCCCCCCAAATATAAAGACCTGATTCAAAAATCTGAAATGAACAGATATTTCTCAAAGAAGTAAAAGCAAGTAAATATATGAAAAAATGTTCCACATTACTGGTCATTCGAGAGATGCAGATGAAAACAACACAGATTCCATCTCACCCCACAAAGAATGGCTGCTATCAAGAAATCACATAACAACAAATGTTGGCGGGGTTGTGGGGAGAAAGGAACCCTCTCCATTGTTGGTGGGAGTGTAGACTGGTGCAACCACTGTGGAAATCAATATGGAGATACCTCAAAGAACTAGGATTGGAGGTTCCATTTGACCCAGCCATCCCTCTGCTGGGTATCTTTCCAAAAAGAATCATATCACAGTGATATTTGGGCACCTATGTTTATAGCAGCACAGTTTGTAATAGCTAAAACTTGGAAACAGCCCATTTGCCCATCAGTTGGAACCTGGATTAAGAAGATGTGGTTTTTCTATAAAACAGAATACTACTTAGCCATAAAGAATGAGAAATTAGATTCATTCATAGGAAAATGGATGCATATTGAGGATATACTCCTAAGGGAAATAAATAAGTCACACATGTGTAAATACTGAATAGTTTCTCTGGTGTGAAAACTATAATAGTACACAAGATGCTAATGGAGATAATTGACAATGTGAAATAGGAAGAAAAGGGCTAAAGGTGGAGGGAAAATGGGAAGGGTAGGGGAAAGGTAATAAGGGAAAAGAAAAAATACGACAAAATGAAAAAATAGAAATAAAGTGTTTGTAAATGGGGAGGGGAGGAGGGGGTGAAGGGAGGGCAGAGACAAGGGGAAAAAAGGAGAACCAAGACCGGTCATGTAAAGGTACAAGATCCCAATAATGAATGTAACTGTACCGTATACCTAAAATGTACCAATAAACTCAATGAAAAAAAAAAAGCTTCTGCACTACAAGAGAAACCACCAAAACAGCTGAGACAACCTACAACATGGGAAAAAAATTTTACAAGCTGTTCCTCAAAGGACTACTATCTAGAATATATAAAGAACTAAAAAAAAAAAAAAAAAAAAAAAAAAACAGCCCCAAAAAAAAAAAAAAAAAAAAAAAAAAAAAAAAAAATCAGGCCATCCAAATATAAAGACCCAGTTCAAAAATGGGCACCTGAAATGAACAGACATTTCTCAGGCAAAGAAGTAAAAGCAGCAAATAATCATATAAAAAATGTTCAACATCATTGGTCCTTTGAGAGATGGAGATAAAAACAACACTGAGATTCCATCTCACCCTTGAAAGAATGACTGCTATCAAGATATAAACCAATAACAAATGCTGGTGGGGCTGTGGGGAGATAGAAACCCTTCTTCATTGTTGGTATGAGTGTAGACTGGTGCAAAAACTGTGGAAATCAAAATGGAGGAGCCTCAAACAACTAGGATTAGAAATTCCATTTGACCCAGCTATCTCTCTGCTGGGTATCTTCCCAAAAGAATTAAAAGAATCATACCACAGCAATATATGCTCACCATGTTTACAGCAGCACAGTTTGTAATAGCTAAAATTTGGAAATAGCCCAAGTGCCCATCAACTGGAGACTGGATAAGGAAGATGTGATTTTTTTTTCTAAAATGTAATATTACTCAGCCATAAAGAATGAGAAACTAGAGATTTGCAGCTAAATGGATGCACAATGAGGCCATACTCTTAAGTGAAATTAATAAGTCACATGTGTAAATACCGAATAGTATGAAAAATAAAAGTGTTGAGGATCAAAATGTATAAATTATATTGTATAATACAAAGAATAGGTCTAAAAGAGTTGAGGAAGTAAGGGGTAGAGGAAAGGGAAAGAGGGAAACGAAAAAAATATGTAAAAAGAAAAAACATGGAAACAATGTCTTTGTAAAGAGGGAAGAGTGGAGGAGTTGAAGGGAGGGCTGGGGAATGGGGAAAAATAAGAACCAAGATAAGTCTTGTAAAGATACAAGACCCCAGAGGGCAGGGGTAAGGGGAAAAAATGAGAATCAACTTGTCTCATTTTAATAAGTCACATGTGTAAATACCGAATAGTATGAAAAATAAAAGTGTTGAGGATCAAAATGTATAAATTATATTGTATAATACAAAGAATAGGTCTAAAAGAGTTGAGGAAGTAAGGGGTAGAGGAAAGGGAAAGAGGGAAACGAAAAAAATATGTAAAAAGAAAAAACATGGAAACAATGTCTTTGTAAAGAGGGAAGAGTGGAGGAGTTGAAGGGAGGGCTGGGGAATGGGGAAAAATAAGAACCAAGATAAGTCTTGTAAAGATACAAGACCCCAGAGGGCAGGGGTAAGGGGAAAAAATGAGAATCAAGACTTGTCATGTAGAGGTACAAGATCCCAACAATGAATATAACTGTACTGTATTCCTAAAATGTACCAATAAATTTAACAAAGATTTTAAAAATTTTAAAACTTATTTTATTGAGGTAAAATACATACAACATAGCTATACTTTAAGGATACAGTCTTGGGACACTAACTACACTTGTATTTCTGTGTAATCATCACCACTATCCATATGCAGATGTATTTGTTTTGAAACTATTTATTTTTTTCCTTCCCAAACCAATATGAGCTAGAAGCAACATGTATGGATAACTCTGCTCTTTTTGAAAACAGGGTGTCAAAACAGCAGGCTTTTAAAAAAGGACATAAAGACTGAAGTCGGAAGGATGGGCCAATTGTGGCCCAACCTGTGCAGTCTTTTAAATTATAAATAGCAAAACATGGCACCGCCAGCTACTTTGTGAAAATCCCCTTTCTCTCAACTCATAGGAGACATTACTCTGTGATCACCACAACTTTTCCCCCTGAATCTCAAAATCTTTCTCCATGTGGTCTTCCCTGCATTCATCACAAGTAATTACAATTGGTCACAGAATTCCACTTACCATCTCCACATAAAAAATGCAAGCCATTCTGTTGAAACAAGAAGTAACATATGGCAGAGACAACATATATAGCAGCACATGCAAACGTGCACATGGTAGAAAAGTCCTTCAACGTGGGAGTGTCATAATGAAAGTTTCTTAGAATGGAAATGGTCAAAAATATAAATGTTTTACCTGGGTAGGAACACGCTTTCAACCACATAAAAGTCTTGCATGAGAACATCTCGTTCCGGCTTTGAAGTGAGATTCCCCACCGTGTATCCTATTCCAAGCTGAATAGCACCTTTAATAGCAGATGATGCAGTCTGCAAAGAAAACCAGGGCCTCCATGTTAGTCTCCACAGTCACGGTCTTGTTCAATATTGCAAACAGCAAAATATTCTCCTTTTTGTTCCTACGCAGCAAGGAGACCGGGGCATGGGAAATGATAAATTGTTGCAGGTACGAGGGACTAAACCCAAGACATACACAGGCCAGGCACACTCCCAGTTCCACTAAGTTGCTTCTTTTGATAGAGGATCTATCTCACCTGTTAGGATTTTTTGGTTGTTTCTAAGATCACATTAGAATCCAAAATAACCATCTTTCCTATATTAAGAGCATAAAAACTTGGTACAACATTTTTAATATATAGTTTTATAATTTCTACCTAAAGATACATTTTCACGGCATATTTTTAAAAATTTAAGAATTTTTATAACATACCTATGGATCAGGAAAGTTATTTTTCCTCTAAGAAATGAGAGAGCAAAACATAACTGGTACTGGGTCTTCCTTTTTTTTTTTTTTTTTTTTTGTAATGGGGATCAAACTCAGGTCCTTGTGCTTGCGAGGCAGGCAGTAGAACCACTGAGCTAAATCCCCAGCCCTCATAATTGGGTCTTTTGCTGTATATCCAAAATTTAATCTGGAAATTGCACCAGTCTTGTCAAAGACCCATAATCAAAACTTTCTACATTGACCTGTGATAAAAACTAGCACAGGACAACAGTATTCCCAATTTACTACTTTTCCAACATTATGCATAATTAAATTTATAGTGTTAGCTTAGAGAATAACAACTGTATATACGTAAATGTCTATATGTGTGCGCACATGTGTATAAATACACCTGTATAAATGTGAACAGACAGTAGAATAACTCAATTTAGGAAATATTACAATCTTTTTTTGGCACCAGGAATCTAATTTAGGGCCTTGTGCTTGCCAGGCAGGCACTGTGCTGCTGGGGTACATCCTGACCCTGGAATGTATTCTTGTTGTTTTTGTTTTGTTTTTGGTACCAGGGATCAAACTCGGGTCCTTGCGCTTGCAAGGCAGGCCACCGAACCACTGAGCTAAACCCCAGCCCTACTGGAATGTATTCTTAATGGAGAAAGTATGTCATATTTTTAAGGCCTTGTCATGCCCAATGCAGTAGCATGTAGTAAGTGGGCACAAATAAATACTTAAGTCAGTGGTTCTTAACTAGAGCTATCTGGCCATATCTGAAGACATTTGGTGTGCAGTGCTATTCGCTTTCAGTGGATAAAGGCAGTTATGCTACTAAATATGTTAAAATGCGCAAGATGGCCCTCACTACAAAAAATTATCTAGCTCCAAATATCATTAGTGCAAAGGTTAAGGTACCCTTAGTTAAGTTAATATAATAGATATCATCCACTTTGTAGAAAAAATTCTTTTTGAATTACTATTTGCACTTAGAAAATCCAAGACCTATACCCACTACCCTTCATGTTTTTTTTTTTTTTTTATTGAGTTTATTGGTACATTTAGGGATACAGTACAGTTACATTCATTGTTGGGATCATGTACCTTTACATGGCAAGTCTTGATTCTCATTTTTTTCCCCTTACCTCTGCCCTCCCTTCACCCCCTCCTCCCCTCCCCATCTACAAACACTTTATTTTCATCTTTTCATTCTCACATTTTTTTTTCTTTTCCCTTTTTGTTCTTCCCCTACGTATCACACCTTCCCTACACCTTTAGCTCCTTTCCTCCCATTTCTAAATGTCAGTAATCTTATTAGAATCTTATGCATTGTTGCAGAATATTCACACCAGGGAAACTATTTGGTATTTACACATGTGGGACTTATTTATTTCACTTAGGAGTATATCTTCAATATGTATCCATTTTCCTATGAATGAATCTATTCTCTCGCTCTTTATGGCTGAGTAATATTCCATTTTATAGAAAAACCACAACTTCTTTATCCAGTTTCCAACGGATGGGCAAATAGGTTGTTTCCAAGATTTAGCTATTACAAACTGTGCCGCTATTCTTTATCTTTTCCTGCTTTCAATACCAAAGAACACTTCTTGAAAAATTTACTCCTCTTGATTTCAAGAATAAGACACAGTCCTGGGGTCAATTCTAGCTTTCCTGATGGTTTCTTCTGTCATTTCTTCACTAGTTTCTCACACTCTACGCTATAACTGCAAGATCCCTGACAACTTGATCCTTAATTATCTACGTAATCAACCCATTCTTAATGGCTTCAAATATATGCATCTGACTCAGATTTTTCAGTCTACTTGGATGCTGTTCTGTTGTGACATATGTAGTATGTACAGAGCCAGACCAATATCTTATACCCTCTCCATCCCACTTTCAAGATTGGCTCCCTCTCTTCAGACACCTTCAGTCACCCAGGCTTGAACCCCAAACAGACCCCATCATAGCACAGGGCTGGATCCCTAAAATCACCTTGTTGACTTTGTCTGAAATGATCAGTCAGAGCTGATCAGTCATCTCTAAATGCAGCCACAAAGTACAACCATATTCCCATGGTTATCATTCAATCACTTTGCTCTTAGGGCTAAAAACACTATGTGACCCTTATTCGAAAGACAGCTATCTCCAGCCTTGATCCTGCAGAAAGCAGAAAAATGTCTTGATATTTTCTTCTTTTCACATCATTTCTTTTTTAAGATCCCATGGCAGCAACATATAAAAGATTGAGATTAAGTGCATCTAGTGCTTTAAAAAAAGGTTGCTATTTTAATACTCCCTCTCTGACTTCTGCAGTGGCACCAACTGGCATCAGTGACCTTTTGTACCAGCAGATCTGAATTCTGATGGCAGAAGTGAATTTCCCTCATTGTAACCCTGCATAAAAATTCAAAAGGCATTCTTTCCCATCCATCACTCCAGGTGGGTAATACACAAGATACAACATTAGCACTTTTCACAGAACCCAGTACCCCAAAACATTCTGCACCAGCCCAATCAGCGAACTCACATGCTCTCAAAGTATTTTGCTGTCCCTGATCCCCCATCCCTCACTCTGCTTTCTGGAACTACCCGTATTTTTTGCTTAACTCATGCAATCATTGTGATAATAGCTGTTTAACTCTTCTTGGGCTGTCAAACAGATTATCCCATTCTTTTTTGGTCCCATCATGGCTATAGAAGGTAGTAAAGTTTGTGGATTGTCTGCACCCATTGTTCTCAGACTTTAGGGAACAACAGAATCACTGGGGATACTTCTCAGTAGGTCATGTCCCTAGGACGATTCAAACAGTCTGCAGCAAGGCCAAATAATTTTCTCTTGCTCTAAGGAACACTAGAAAAGAAA